TCGACCAGACTGCAACCACTACTCTTGACCGGACTGCAACAGCACTCTCACCAACAGGTTTTTTCCCTCTCCTTTTCCTTTGGACTCAGGGGGCCCAAAGAACACCACTCTGTTCATGCTCCAGGGTGCTGGGTTATACATTTGGGTTTTATGGGTTAAAACCAATTGTTTGTCTGTATAATCGTATTTATTGTATTATTTTATTAAATTGTTATTCTGACTTATAATCTCTTCTTTGAGTTGAGTTCATTTCCCCTGTTGGTTTACCTTTAAACCAGCACAATGTAAAACTTAAGAACAAGATTTTTTCCTTTGCTTTAAACTATTTTATTATCCATAACAAAGGAACACATGAATGTTACCAAACTTTATGGGCTATGAAGACTTTTTTTACTGAAGTCAGTACACAGTACTTGAATTGGGTATTGCTGATGGTGTTGCTGAGATGAGACAGTACTTTGATCAGCCTGATTAAAGACATTTGAGTGTTAATAGTATGAGGGTAGCAGTATTTCAGTATCTTTTTCTTACCTTGCTAGAACTGTGCAGCTCTGTTGCAGTAGCACACAAGCTGAGCCCAGTTTGGTTAAAGAATGGCAGATTTGTGCTCATAGGGATTGGTGGCTGAAACATTCTGTAATAAATTTTGGGCCTACTCTTCTGTTACTGAGAGAGTTTCTGAAAGCACTGGAATTGTGTTCAAGTCTGTGGTGTATGTCTCAGTTTACTTCTGATAGCTCTATTAATGCTGGGACTACATCAGCTGCTTTGTGTTACTGAACAGGAATTGTATATTGTGTGGTGTGCATGTAAAAAAACTTTCTAGCAGACATATTGGTTCTTCATGTCAGTATAATTAAAGCAGTGTCATACTCTGCTAAGTTTCATTCTGTTCACATACTTTAAATATTGTTGTTTTCATTTAATTTAAAAGTAGCCTTGGACTTCTTCAGGGCAGATTTTGGCCTACTCAGAAGACTGGTTCAGAGGGTACTTTGGGAAACAGCCCTTGAAAACAAAGGGGTCCAGGAGGGATGGACATGCTTCAAGAAGCAAGTCTTGAACACACAGGAGCAGGCTGTCCCAGTGTGCCAAAAGGCGAGCTGGCGGGGAAGATGTCCAGCCTGGCTGAACAGGGAGACTTTGAATGAAATTAGGGGAAAAAGCCCTGTGCTCAGTGCTGGTGAGACCACACCTTGAGTACTGTGTCCAGTTCTGGGCCCCTCAGTTCAGGAAGGATATTGAGGTGCTGGAGCAGGTCCTGAGAAGAGCAACAAGGCTGGTGAAGGGACTGGAACACAAGTCCTATGAGGAGAGGCTGAGGGAGCTGGGGTTGTTCAGCTTGGAGAAGAGGAGGCTCAGGGGAGACCTCATCACTCTCTACAACTCCCTGAAAGGAGGTTGTAGCTGGGTGGGGGTTGGTCTCTTCTCCCAGTCAACCAGCAGTAGAACAACAGGGCACGATCTTAAGCTGTGCCAGGGGAGGTTTGGGTTGATATTAGGAAGAAGTTTTTTATGGAGAGAGTAATCAGGCATTGGAATGGGCTGCCTAGGGAGGTGGTGGATTCACTGTCCTTGGAGGTTTTTAAGATGAGACTGGATGTGGTACTTAGTGCCACGGTCTAGTAACCACAGTGGTGTTGGATCAAGGTTGGACTTGATGATCTCCGAGATTTTTTCCAACACGGTTGATTCTATGTTTCTTCAAGGCAGGGGTGTTCTTTGGAAGTAATCTGCTGATCAGTGTTAACCATGTGCCTTAGTGTCTCCTCAGTCTTTGTAAAGGGAGCTGTTGTTTGATGTCTAGCTGGAAATATGTTATCAAGCAAATTGCTTAAGAAATCCCTTCAGTATTTTTATTAATAACTTCAGTCATGAAATAAAGTGTACATTTATTAAATTTGTTGATAATATGAATCTTAATAAAGGTTGCAAGTGCTTTGGAGGACACAAAATGCAGATATGTCTCTGATTTCTTGGGGTAGCTGAAGTAACGACCTGAATAACAGGAAAAAAACCCCTGGCTCAGAATTGGTAGAAGGAGCTTCTGCAATGTTCAAATGTGTTGCAGGATAATTTGCTAGACTCAGTTGTTGGTCCAACTTAAGTTGGAAAGCAATCAAGGAACACACTAGTGTGGGCAACTAAAGCTGATCATGAGGGGTTTAAGCATAGTAAATCCTTTATGTGGGAGCAGAGCTACCTTACTGACTTCCAATTCTTACAGTTGGTGATCTGTTTACCATTTATCAAAAATTCCTTCCTTAGAAGGAAGAGTATCCAAGAGCTATCAGAGATGTCTGGTCATCTAAACAGAGATTATGCCTGTAATGAAACTGTTTTTTATTGAAAGACATTCTAGGATGAACTTGTTAACAACATCAGAAAACATCTGTAAGAGTTGTTAATGAAGCTGGTAAAACATGGAACTGTCAACTTTAAGCTGTGTAGGCTGCATACTCTAGAGAAGTACATTGTAAGAAAATAACTATTCCTGACTTGCTGTTTGTTATTTAATTACACCTGGGGTGTTTGTGCCTTTTTAGAGTTAGGAAGATTTAATAATGAAAGTACTCTGTGTTCCCATGTCTAATTGCCGACCAATCACTGGTACAATTAGATGAAAGAAAGTGTTTTCTTGACTTTGGTGTCGAGGTTAGTATTCACAGGAGTTGTTTTTCTTGTTAGTCTTTAACTGTAAATCTGTGAATTTGGTCAGGTAATGTTCTAGAAAAACATTTGTGCTTTTGTTCTTGAGGTTCTTTTATTAAAACTATGTGGAAGAATTAGTTCTAGGAGAGTTTTTCTTCTATGGGCTTATTGAAATTTACAGATATTCTGCTGCTGACTTTGTGCTCTGAGTGTGAGTTTTGGCCCAGGCCTCTGTCCTTACCATTTCATTATACCGCTTTTTAGGAAAAGGATTGACTTCTCTGACAGAGCAGGACTATCAAAAACTTTTCTAGAGCTTTTTCGATCTGCTTCTAGAATAATTGTTGCATGAAGACATAGACACCCAGTGTCAGTGAGCTGTGGGAAAAGCTTGTCTAAAAACACCTTTCCAGTCCTTGGATGCTTGGTGATCACCAAATCTTTCCTGAATCCTTGTTTTTTTGTGCAAAGGGTAAAAGGTAGGGATGTTAGTGAGTTAATAACGAATGTTTCTCATGACAGTTGCATAAATAGTGTTAGGAAGCTTGACTAGTTTTCTAAAAAGAGTAAGATCAGTCTGTTAAGAAATCAGATTGTTAGGGCATTTGTTGTCCCATACCTTGTAGCTGAGGCACCAGTAACTTGGTAGTACTTTGTGGAATCTTTGTTATATTTTTACTTGGTCTAAATCTAATCTTACTCATTGCTTTTTGGACTGTAAGTGCCTTGGTCTGAAGATTTCGTTGTTTTTGTGCTGATCTTTCAGTATTGATGCCTGTCTTGATCCTCTCTAAAGATTTCCTGATTCTTGTACTTGGAGGATAAGAACTGTATCTGAGGGAAGGAGAAGAAAATTTTTTCCTCCTGGCATTTGCTCAGATTTGTTCATTGCTTCATCTGTTTTCTGTACTATTGCTGAGTAGGATATATCAGTAAAAGTGAACGTGATTCCTGTGAGAAAGAGGAGCCACTTCTGTGATGGTTCATTGACTCCAGAACTTTCTTCATTTGTTTTTCACTAGTTCGACGTAACTGGAATATTTAGAAAATTTCTCTGGATTTTTTGGTGAGATAAATTTTGAAGTGAGTTAGATGACTTCAGCAGAGTAATTTATAGTGAGTTATTTGGATGAGACATACCTTTATAACCTTGTCTTCTGTATTTAATGACAGTAATGGTCTATCTTACCTCAAAGTTTAACTCTGGTATTGGAGATACCTAAAAACCTAAATATGAGCTCGTGTCATCAAAAAGATGCTCAACTAAGTGCAGTTTAACACTAAGTAAAGTCTAACAAATCTGTTAGAAGCTGGAACATTCTTGTCTGTCACTGGAAATCTGCAATAGCCTGGTTCAGGCCATAATCACAACAATAATTATGGGTTACTGTATACCAGATTCCACAGCTCTTACTCACATTACAGCAGCCGTAGATTAAAGTGAACTACATCTGTGCTTTCTGACTAATAGATTTGCACTCACATTTATTTGGATCTTCATGTGAAATGTGTGTGGGTACTTACTATGTTTTCACAAATTCATATGAAGTTCTAATAGTGTGTATCATACTTAAAGTATTTTTGAATCATTGATCATTTTGCAATGACTAGCTGCAGAGTATGATTCAGTTACCCTCACATAATTCAGGCAGTGTTTCATCCACTTCTTTCCTGTCTGTGCTATCATTCAGCTTTGAGTTCATATTACCTTACATTCTCTTGCTTATTAAGAAATGTTTTCTTATCTGTGGGAAGAGTGTAGGGTAGAAAAAGTATTCTTGAGTTTTAATCTTAAGCCATTACTTTCTCTTGCCCATTTTCAAACTGGAAAATTTTACTGGATTTTGACACTTTGCATATGTAGACTCTGTTTCCATTGAATCTAGAGACAATGAGGGGTTTGTGGTTGTCCCAAGCATCTAGTTTTTTCATAAGGAACTTTAATATGGCCTCTGAAACTAACTTTTAGGGACTAATTAAAAAATCAGCTTCTAGGAAGCTGAAGAAATAGCTCCTGAAAGCCATTCTAGATATTACCAGGAAGTATTGTAACAAGCTAATTTTGCCATAGCGTTCTGGGTCAGACCTTACACAAGAAACTTCATCCAATTTATAAGAGGAAATAAAGAAAGGAATGTTACATTTGTATTTTCCTGATTCCTGCAATATATTTGATTTGTGTGACACTTTAGTAATAAAAGCACAAATGTGATACTGTAAACGAGACGAGGGTAGTTAGATTCTAAACCATATCTGTGTGAGAAAATAATTCTGGAAAACAAAGCACAAGAAGTTTACTCCTCTTGTAACATCTGGAAGTACTCCATTTCTTGTTCTTCTGTTTGCAGGGACTTGCCATGAGGTGCTAAGCCTTTTTCCATTGATTCAATGAGACTGGACCTAAATGGCGCAGCATGACTTTGCTCCAGCCTGGCTTAATTTTCCTACTCCACCATCATCAACAAAGGTATGTTTCTTTTGAACAGGCATTCCCATTATTTGGGAAGTTAATGTCATAACCTCATTCACAGTAAAAACCTCTTCATGAAAAGGGTGGTGATAGATGATATCTGGCAAGTTTTGTTGTCGTGATTTAAGTAGTTGTATCATAGAGTTCTTTGCTTGAGCAGCTGAGTTTGTGGATAGAAGCACGTGCCTGGCCTTGTCAGAGCTGTGGTTGGCTTAAGATTGCCTTCATCAGGAGTTTAAGGTGAATTACTGTATTCTTTGCTAAAAGTACCAAGGCAGAGGCATGTACTTGATATTCTTGCTTCTGACTTTTCTGTGTGTTCTATAAATTTTGCAGAACTGTTATTCTGTCATCTAAGTGATTAAAAAAAAATGTTTTTTTATATTATCTGAAGTGGCTCTGCATGGTGGGATGCTTGTTGCTACTGATGGAGTGTGGCCCTTTCAAACTGTTGTGCATCTTCACTCTGGTTGTTTCATCTGAACTACTATTACTTTATATAATGGGACAGTTAATTTGGAAACAGGAAATAACAACCTCCAAATTGCTAGGATTTGTATATATTCTAGGAAATCTTGAGTATGTCTGTCCTGGGAATGTTTCTTTTTTCCTGACCTGTCTTTCTACTCTTTTTTAATTCGTGCAAATGCAGAAGCAGAGTCAGCACTGGGTATTAAAACTCTTGTCATCTGTTTCCCTGGTTGTAGACCTGTCTTCATTATAATCTCTTGAATGCAATATCTATATCTTCAGCTATGAGAATGGGTTTGCCTTTCTTTAGTGTATTTATATGAAGTTTCATGCAGTCTTTCATGTCCATGAAAAGTGCTTAGGCTTGAAAAATTTATGGCAATAGGCTTATGGTGTTGTTAAATTCATAGATAGCTGGCAGCTGTGTTCCTAATGCTTTGCTTATGTATGTCTACACACACTTAACACCCGTGCATTTTTTTTAATCAAGTTGTTTAATGTCCTTATTTCTTTTGCTCTCTTTATGCGCTTCTACTCTGACCTGGCTAGATGCTTAGTTTAGGATAATCTATTAGCAACTCAGTTGCTTTTCTGGGAACATCAGGCATATCTCTTCCATGGTGGTTCATGGAGTCTGTTTTCATTCTACATAATTTCTGATGCTTTCAACTCTTTTGATCTGATTTTTTCAATTTAATGTGTTGTAAATGTTGATATGTGTCAATATCGCAGGATAAAAGTAACGTTCAGAACTACTCCAGTACCACTAACATATATCTGAGTTATTGGTTGTATTTGTCACCTCATTCCTGAATTGTGTGAAATTACATTACAAGTATATGTTGTGGATCCTGTTCTCTTTCGTGATTCTTTGCCTAAAGGAGTTTAGTTGAACTTCCTTCTCTTCCAAAAACTCCATACTGTATGCTTACTCAGTTGTAGTATTTGTGTGTCATTGTTGGGAATGCACCTTATTTCCCTGCATTAACTCCCTCCTCAGTGATCAACATTCTGTGATATACAGCACATTTGGATAATAAGCACTTGACAGTTAAGTTTGTTCTTATATGTAGTAGTTCTTAGTTTACAGAATAAGACTTGTCTTGTCATTGCTCTCTACAAGACAGGTCTCAAATGTTGTGGCCCCCTGTCTGCTCCATTTCCTAAAATAGATTTATTTTCTATGTCAACAAAGCAGAAGAGAAGAGCAGATAAGAAGAATGGAGATGAAGAGGAAGGATGGGTTGAGGAAGGCAAGGTGTCTCATATTGCATGCAGAATAGAGCTGGGGCAAGCCTATGATATCAACAACATTTAAACTTGAGAAGGAGAAAGTGAACTCTTCTCAATCAATTTTTATTTTCCTGAAGAAGCACTTTCAGGAATTGCACCTACAGAAGCTTGGTTTCCCTCCTCAGTCCTTGGTACCTGAGACTTTTTTCCTTACATAGCTTAAGGCTGGTTTATAAAAACCCAGTGCCAGGAAGCTGTGATTGTGAAGGAGCTTTCTAATGTGACAATACAGATTACAGCTTGACTGAAATCCATCCTATGTATTGCTGCTGATTGCCTCTTAACAGCAAGCTTTTCTGTCATCTCTTTGCTGACAGAGCAAAATCCACCTAGATAGGTGGGTGCCCATCACTCAGCAGGTTTTGTTTGGGTGTGGAACTACTGTATTTGTGTCGGTGCACTATTGCAGATGGGCAGGTGAAAATTGGAAGGTGTTGTGAAGAGTGAAGCCATTTTGGGATATGGACAAAACTTTGAAGAAAGTATTGCTCTAAAGAGTGTATGAGGAGATTGCAGACAAATAAACTCCATTTTTGCAAGTTCACTTTTACTTCTTGTTAAGCAGTAAGAGTTTTTATGCTTCTAAAAATCTGTGCTCCTTCTTTTCCTTTTTCTTGTCTGGCTGAACCAAGTCAGACAGTTTTCTCAACTTCCAGAAATTACCATCAGATTTCTTTTGATTACAAAGCTTACTGTTATCTCTGCCACAAGAGGCTTCCTAGCCTGGTACCTCCATCGTGTGGGGAAAACGCAAACTGCATGATCTTTGCACACATTTTAGAGGCTTCAGATTTATTGTATCATATACAACTTGAACACTGCATATAAAATGCTGTCAGTTATACTTTGTGAGAATGTTGATTGTTCCTTGAAGGTACTATGAAAAAACGAAAATTAAACTCCAAAGGCAATATTAGATTGTTGTTTTATGTAAATGTACACATGAAGCTATCTTCTAAAATTTCACCTATGATTGGCAGATCTGGAACTTTCTGAAATTTTTGGCAACTTATTCAAAATCTGTTTATTTTTTACTTAAAGATTTAGATTAATTAGATAATTTTTGAAGTACTTAAATATTTTGATAGTTTTTTGCAGTTTTCTGTTCTTTCTCTCTCCAAGTTTGTCAAGTAATTCACTTCTCAGGTCTCAAATTGAGCGGGCAGTCCCTTTACATTTGAATTCTGTTCCATTTGGAAATACATGCTTTGAGTTTTCAACATATCTGCTTATTTGAGTTTAAATTTTAAGAAGCGAATTTTGAACAACACCTTGAGCTCTGCAGGGGCATTGTCAGTAGAATATGGATATGCTTTTTTTTGTGTGTGATTGTCTCTGTGGGAGAGATGGGAAGAAGGAAATAATTTTCTTCAATGTTTTCCAAAGTGGTGAAGCCTATTACTGTGATTTCCTTTTTTGTGTGTTTTTTTTCCTGCTCACTTTGATCAGTGGAGTACTTTTAATACTAATATAGCTTGATTAGATGTTACTGGGTAGTAACTGTTGAAATAAACTTGGAGCTTTCATTTTAACCATTACTGTTGTACCTTTTCTCCTGAATGTTGCTGAGGAGAGGGAGTGAGCTTCAGGCAGCGGAGTTGGTACTTTGGGTGCGGCAAAGTCGATACTCCCTGGAATCATAGAGTGATTTGGGTTGGAAGGGACCTTAAAGATCATCTCGTTCAAGCCCTCTGCCAGGGACAGGGACACCTTCCACTAGACCAGGTTGCTCAAAGCCCCATCCAACCTGACCTTGAACGCTGTCAGGGGTGGGCCGTCCACAGCTTCTCTGGACAACCTTGTTCAGTCCCTCACTATCCTCATAGCAAAGAATTTCTTCCTAATACTTAATCTAAACCTACTCTTTTTCAGTTTGAAGCCATTCTCCCTTGTCCTATCACTACAGTTCCTGTCGAAGAGTCCCTCTCCAGCTTCCCTGTAGGCCCTCTTCAGATACTGGAAGGTGCAATGAGGTCTTCACACAACCTTCTCTTCTCCAGGCTGAACAGCGCCAACTTCTCAGCCTGTCTTCATAAGGGAGGTGCTCCAGTCCCCTTATCAACTTTGTGGACCTCCTCTGGACTCGCTCCAACAGTTCCATGTCCTTAGCATGCTGGGGACCCCAGAGCTGGATGTAGTACTCCAGGGTGGGGCCTCATGAGAGCAGAGGGGTTGAATCACCTCCCTTGACATGCTGGCCATGCTGCTTTTGATGCAGCCCAGGATTTCATTGGTTTTCTGGGCTGTGAGTGCACACTGCCAACTCTTGTTGAGTTTTTTGTCAATAAGCATATTTCCACCCAGCAGTGCTTTTATGTATTTGTACCTCTTGTGGGCCTGGGAGGTGCTGGATCTCTTGTATGTGTGCAGCACAGTAAGTCTACTGGGAGGGAAGGGGGCTTTAGTTCCTCTGCATCAAAGATGACTATGCGTGAGGGAGGTGCTGTGTAGCACAACCCTCTGCTGTCTGTCACTGGTGAATATCTGTGGAAAGCAGTAGGGCATTACTTCTGCAGAATGAAGTTAGTTTTGAATTTTCAACATGTAGCAGCAAAAGAAATGGTGGAGTGTTAAAAAGGTACAGCCAGACAGAAGTTATAAGGAAAATGGGTTGTGTAAGACGTTTTTTTGTTTAATCTCTTTAGTTATGAATTCTAGTTTGGATGTGGTTTGATTTCTGAGTGCCATTCATCAAAATAAGGTTTTAGTTTATAAAGTCTTCCTACTGATACATTAAAGATTAATTTTTAAAAAATTTCTTATATGCCTATTTATAAGCTGAAAATTTTAAGTGTATTTGTGAATTTGTACACCTTTCCCTCTAGGTTTTATTTGTACTTCATAACTGTCTGTATTTGCCATATTAAGTTATAATGACAAGACTAATTAATTTGGCTTCTTTTGGATACAGCTGCTTCTGGTGGAAGTGACGCCTTGCTTTCTATGGAATGCACATGTGTGGTCTCTGAAAATCCAAATTGAGATGCCAGACTTTTCATGCCTTTCAAACTGTGATCCTCTGTCATTTTTTACCTTTTCTCTTATTTTTTTCCTCTGCTACAACACACGTCATTTGTGCTTTGTTCTGCTGCCAAAACAAAATAGAGACTTAGGGGTTTTACCTTCTGTCACAAGCGTAGTCCTCAGTGCTGTTTCAGTGTCCTGGAGCAGAAGATAGAGCTTCCACTTTGCCAGCATGAGAGATGGTAACATAGCTCTGAACATCTGCATACTCAAAGACTGCTGCATTGTTTGTCATTCAAAGTTCCTCAAAAAATTGATTGTGTATACTGTGAACAATGTGCATGTTCCAGCTCTGATGATTCAGTTATTAAGCAGATCTCAAGTCTGCCGCTTGTGCTCCTTTACAGTCATCGCTGAATTTTGAGAAACATTCTGAAAATTTTTCGTGGACAGAGAATCGTTATGAGGCAAATCGCAGAAGACACAACTCTTCGGAGGGGTTTGATCCTAACATTGGGCAGCCTAATGGAGGTATAATTTGTGGAATGTTGTGAATACGTTTGTCACTGCTTTGTAGCACTCTAGTTAGAAAAGAAGTCTGATAATGATAGCTCATCTATGCTAAATTCTTTTTCTGCGCTAAAATAGCTTCTGGGAGAGGATGTGAGCACTAAGGGTTGGTTAAAGTAATGTGACTCCAGGTGTATCTCGCTCTTGAGAAGAGTAAGAACTTTTGAGTTAGTACACTAGCCAACAGCATTTAAATGAGCAGCCAAAAAAGGAGGTTGACTTGTCTTAATGTTGGCTGACTATCCTCTTTCTCTGGTACTGTTTTGTAAATTCTTCCCTGCTGTTTGTGTCAATGATAACTTGTTTATTATGCTATCATATCCCAGAATATAGAGCTGCTGACTTAGCTTCTTTAACAATTATGCAAAAGTAGAAAGTTCTTATAAAATTGTTTGTAATTACATGTCTTTAAAATTTAAATATCTAAGGGCATTTTGGGAGAAAAGAGAGGAGTGATTGGCGTTCCCAAGTCAGAAATGGTCCAGAAAATATAAACCATCGTGGGGGATACCATGGCGGAAGTTCCTGTACTCGTACCAGCGCTTTCCATTGTGGAAAAGGGCAAGGACTGCATGACCATATCAGTGTACCTGATAATGAAACCCGCAAAAAGGAAGACAAAGAAGTACCCAACCAGTTTGAGGCTGAGGATTTTGTAAGTTAATTGTAATTATGATAAACAAGGTTACATTTTCTCTGCAATTACCATTTTGCCCATTACAATCTACGTCATGAGATATAACTTATTTCAGATCATCATATAAAGGATCACCCTTTCTCTGGTAAGAGGGTGTTAGTCATTTTTCCACTAACATGTTTCTCATTTTGTATCCAGTTTTTATCATTATTATTACTTGTGTATTTAGGTGAAACTACAGTTGAATTCCAGTTTACTGTGGTATGTGTATGTATTAAATCCTACACAGTTACCTTACTGGAAATCTGAAGTAGTAACAGTGATCTTTATGCCAATGGCCTTTTGGGATCCCATGCTTCAGCCTAGAATGTAGGATGTAAGGGAGAGGGTGCTCTTTCTCTTTGAAGAAACATACATTGGTTTTTGCTTTCTCTGGGCAGTTCATGTAATGATATTGGCTGCTGCTTGAGGTGTTTGGTTGGAGAAGAGAAATGAGCGAGCACTGACCTGTTTGGATCACAGAATGATGTGTCTAGTCTGTCTCCATTTAAACATCTTTGTCAGCAGAGGTCATACTGCCGGTGTTACCCTGATTCTGTATTTCATTCATCCCAGAATTCAAGACTTATTTTTTTAACAATGATAAAACTTTCTTTCAGCCATCTTTAAACCCTGAATATGAGAAGGAACCAAACCAGATTAAATCTTTAGCTGCAGGTGTGTGGGGTGAGTATTTTTGATGTTTTTAAGTGCAAAAAGGTAGTGGAGATCTGGAGCAGTTTTATTTGAAACACAGGCCTTTTTTAGAATTATAGAGGTAGTGTTTGAAATTGAGAAAACTAATATTTTTACAATGTAGGTATCTTTTTGTGAGAGAGGTAACACTTCTAGTTGAGTATCAGTCAGTTGGTCTGTAGAGGCAGCCACAACTAGGATTCTTTCCTAGAACAAATATACATCTTTTTGTAAAGATGTTAAGAATTCATAGGGACATTTATCTTTATTTTCAAGAAGAAATGCAGTGAAGGTGGGTCACCTAAACTAGTGATGTGATTGTTAGTTGAAGGCTTTGTAAAAGAATGCTTCTGCATGATTAGACGTGTTGGAAGAGTTTGGAGAGAAACCTGGGAAGGCTTGAAGGGTAGATTAGCTTACTGAGATTTAAGGTCTCTTTCTGGAAGCAAATGTTGTTGGTTGTGTTTATGAATTATTTGTAACAAATCCAGTCCTGAGGATAGGCACTGGACAGAACTGTAGTCTAGAATTGTTTTCTCATCTCTATTTGAGCACATTTGTCTATCACTTTACAGTTCTGTGGGCTCTGTGTAGTCAGTTGTTTACCCGTAAGAAGGTGTTTAGATTGCGGGGGTTTTAAAATAATAAATGTACTTAAAGTAAAAACACTTCTCTTTATTTAAAAAAATACTTTTAATTAAACATAAAGGCTATTCCTTAAACTAATACTGAGATTTTAAGTGGTATTTTAACTTGCTGATTCTTGTTATCATACTTTCCCAGTATGTTTTGCACTGTTAAGTAACATTAGATGTAGACCAACCCCTCAATATAAATACCTAATTGCTATGTACCTTTGCAGGATCCTAAACAATTGAACAGCTTTCTGGATTTGTGTGTTTAGCAGCTTTCATGTGAAAATCAATATCTTTCAATGAAAGACCAATGATAACTAAATTCTTTCCTAACCAAGTTGGGAAAAAATATGTAGAAACTTGAGAGGAGGCAAGCTTTCCAGGCTTTTTGGACATCGCTCTTCACAAGCAAAGGAAAGAAGAGTTCTGTTAGCCACAAAGAATCATTGAATGGTTTGGTTTGGAAGGGACCTTCAAGGCTCGTCTAGTCCAACTTGCAAGCTACTAGTATGCAGTGGCTTGTTACAGCTTTTCAGCTCTGCTATTGAAAACCTTGTTTTGTAACTGAAAAACTGGAATTAAGTCTGCTGTTATTCCTTTTTAAAGGAAACAATATTCGGGACAGAGGAATGTTACAATCCCTTCTAATACCTGCTAAAAATCTATGGTTCTATTAGATTCCATTTTACCATTTGTGTATGTGATGGCAGCATGCAAGTACTGTGAAAAGTCTTGTCATGAAGTTTAATGAGAGTGAAGCGAACACTTATGACAAGTGTTCTGTAACATCTACCTGCTAAACAAAGCTGAAGTCACATGCACTTTTAAGATAAGGGGTTGTTTTTTAAATGAGGGATATAGTGACCCTGCCTGTGAGATAGAGTTGCTTGCAGGGAGAGGTGATAATCTTGGAAAAGGCTCTTAACAAAGCACTGGAATGCATGTATTTTTTTTCACTTTTTGAAAACTTTAGAACTGTTTTTAATGGGTGTTCCTGAAAAATGCTAAATGTCAGTTTCTCTAGTATGACAGTTGTCTGTATGTCCCTTAATTAGTGCTCCATTGAACATGGAAATGTTGTAACCTTCAGATGTGCTGTTATAGCCATCTAAGGCATGAAGCTAGAGAAACTAGTCATTGACATGGTCTGGAGTAGTGCCCATCTTGTCTCATGTTTTAGAGAGCCTCCATGTGGAGCATTTGGCTCTAAACTGACCTGTTAATAAATATATAAGTAGTTATTCTTTTAGAAACCTTAGGGGGAATACGAAAGCCAGAATCTCTTTTGAAGTTTGGATAAGTATCAACAACTTGATTTTAGAATTGCTGTGTAGGATTCTGTAGAACTGTGTATATGGCTTCTTTGAAGAATATCTTGACTTTCAAAAAGTACAGTTCCTGCATTGCCAAATGTAATATTTTACAAATAATGGTTGTAGAAAATGGAACAGAACCTGTGTTTGTCCAGGTTTGTACAATGTATTCTTTTTGGAACTAATACTGAATTAAGTTTCTAATTTATGCCTGTTTGCTCTGAACCATAGGGCTGTCCAGTACCTTATGAACTAGAAACTAGAAAGACTGTATACACATGCGCATACACACACACACACACGTCTTTTTTCCTTTTTTCCAGAGTATCCTTTGAATCCTAAATCTAGGTCTCAGAGAATGCTGGTCATTAAAAAGGGTAATACGAAAGAACTGCGTATATCTGGATTCCCAGCAGTGGGAAATCTTCATTCACAGCTAGTGAGGAATGGAAGTGGCACAAGTATTTATAAAGGATTAGTCCCCAAGCCTGTCATTCCACCTGCAAAGGTGAGTATTGGATACTGGTGGCATTAAAAACATGCTGAGAAAAATCATGCTGTAAGTCTGAATATGCTTACTTCCTCTCTGTTCCTAGATTATCATGCTGTCAATTCTTGCTAAGTGCAGCACACTCTGAAAGTGAATAGAAACAACTTTTTCTCCTTTTTAAACTATACTGTAATTGGATCCCTCTTTTTTTTCTCACCCTTTTTGAGAAGTGCAGGAGCTGTACAAGTGAGAGTTAAAATGATGTTTTTAACTAACAGAATAACACTGCCTTTTGTATATATGATTGTAACAGAAAAAAAAAGAGATACCTAGTGGAGAGGTATAGTCAGCATAGTAATACCTTCAGAATTTATCTCAGTTAAGGCAGAGATGATGTGGTAACCTATCAGTGTCATTCTGGTCTCTTTTCAATTGCAAATTTCCATGTTCATCTATAATTTTTTGTTTCAGGAATTTTTCTGTGCTCTTAAGAGCATATGATGGACTAGTTCTTATATCTAACATTCTGGATTTAAAAGGAATACTTTCAGCTGTTGAAGACTTATATTTTCATTTTTAATACCTCAAATATGAAGATCTTAATTGTTTTGAAATTTTAGTCTTTATGTAAACAGTATTTGTGAGCAGATGAGTTGCTCATAAAACCCTCTTTTGCAGAAGAAAACAGACGTTTGCACTACATTTAGGTTGTAGTTATGATTTGTGCTTAATCATTTTTCTGAAGATTCCTGAAAAGAATTCTTTTGTGGTGAATGACTCTTTAAATTTCTGTTTATATTTCTGTTTAGCCCACACAGTGGAAAAGCCAAGCAAAAGAAAATAAACTTGGGAATGCGTTTCCTCCCGAATCTGCATATGGTGTTGGCAATTTCAGTCCTTTCAAATCAACTCTCAAGGCATTTGCTGTAACACAAAATTCAGTGAAAGAGGTAAAGCAATATCTGTAGTTCTCCTCAAATCTATAAAACATTTAATTTGGCTATATTAGGGTGGTCAGTAAGTTTTATGCAGAATTATATTAAATATGGTTTTTTGAAAGTTAATGTGTGAGAAAGATGGAAGACACATCACTGGCCTTTAAGTACTGCACAGTTTCCTTTGTGGTTTTAATTTGGAATAACCCCCCCCTTTAATTTGGAATAAATAGGAAGTATAACCTGCTAGGTTTAAATTTCAAAACTGCATGATATTACATGGTCAGAAGGTCCACTATTCATTAGCAGTGCTTCATAAACTTGCATCTCGAGGTTTACATGTACAAACTATGTATACCAAAATACAAATCTCCCTTCTGCTTTTGACTGTGAATATATGTGAAACCTGAAACTGCAGGTGCCTTTGTTTTTCGTTCTAAAAGTTTTCTAAATGAATAAATTCTAACATTCTTTCTTTTTCTGACTTCCTACATTAGTGTAATCGGTCAAATTCTTCATCCCCTATTGACAAATCTGGTCAGCCTCGTTTAACAAAATTGACAAGAATGCGAAGTGATAAGAAGAGTGAATTTCTGAAGGCATTGAAACGAGATAGAATGAAAGAGGAACGTGAAGATGAGAATCATGATGTGCAGAAGGTAGTTTTGTTAGGCCTATTGTAGATCCAGCCATAGTAGTTTTCAGATGAACCGTCAACTACTTTTTATTTTGTTGTAAGCAGCTCCTGAGTTGTGGTCTTGGATCTGTAAATGAGGGAAGGGAGTTATATTTTGATGGATTTAATCTTCCTCCAGTGCCACTTAGTAGTTTCATTTTATCTTTCTGCAGTAACTGTTAATGCATGTTAATGACTTACGTACTTGTGTGTGTCTTCGTGTGTGTCTTCGTGTGTGTCTTTAGCAACAATAAAAAGAATAAATTAAGCTTAGCAAACTAACCTAATCATAGATTCATTTATGTTGAAAAAGACTTTTAAGATCATTGAGTCCAACCATTAACCCAGCTCTGCCAAGTCCACCAGTACACCATGTCCCCAAGTGCCACATTTATATGTCTTTTAAATACGTCCAGGGATGGTGACTCATCCACTTCCCTGGGCAGCCAGTTCCAATGTTTGACAACCCTTCCTGTGAAAAAAATTCTTCCTCATGCCCAACCTGAACCTCTGTTGACACAGAAGCCACACAACTTCAGGCCATTTCCTCTTGTCCTATTGTGCATTACTTGGAAAAAGAGGCTGACTTTGGCCTTGCCACAATCTCCCTTCAGGTAGTTGTAGAGTGATAAGGTCACCTCTGAACCTTCTTTTCTCCAGGATAAACAACTCCAGCTCCCTCAACCACTCCTTATAAGACTTGTGCTCTGGCCCTTCCCCAGCTCTGCTTCCCTTCTCTAGACTTGCTCCAGCACCTCAATGTCTTTCTTATAGTGAGGGCCCCAGAACTGGATACAGGACTCGAGGTGTGGCCTCACCAGTGGCAAGTCAGGGGGACAATCACTGCCCTGATCCTGCTGGCCACACTATTGCTGATCCAAGCCAGGATGTTGTTGGCCTTCTTGGCCACCTGGTAACGCTGCTGGATCATGTTCAGCCACTGTTGACCAGCACCCCCAGGTCCTTTTTCACTGGGTAGTTTTCCAGCCATTCTTCCCCACTGCCTGAGGTTGTTGTGACCCATGGTCTGGACTTGACACTTGGCCTTGTTGAACCTTCTACCATTGGCCTTGGCCCATCAACTCAGCCTGTTCAGATCCCTCTGCAGAACCTTCCTACCCTTCAGCAGATTGATACTCCCACCCAACTTGATGTCATCTGCAAACTGACAGTGCACTCAGTTCCTTTGTCCAGATCCTTACTAAAGACTTTAAACAGGACTGGCCCCAAGACTGAGCGCTGGAGAAGCCCACTGGTGACTGGCTGCTGGCTGGGTTTAACTCTTTGCACCTCCACTCTCTGGGCCTGGCCACCAAGACAAGAGTGCACCTCTCCCAAGCTGTGGACTGCCAGCTTCTCTAGGAAAATGCTGTGGGAAACCATGTCAAAAGCTTTATTAAAATCCAAGCAGACAACATCCACAGTCTCTTCTTCATCCACTAAGCAAGACACCTGGTCATAGGAGAGTATCAGGTTGGTCAAGTAGGACAACGCTGACTGGGCTTTGTCCTCTGGTTGTCCTGTGTGTGCCACATGACAACACTCACACTGATCTGCTCCATGGCCTTCCCTGGTACCAAGGTCAGAGTGACAGGCCCATGGTTCCCCAGAATCTCCTTCCAAACCCTTCTTGCAGATAGGTGTCATGTTTTCCAGCCTCCAGTCAGCTGGCACCTCTCTGGTTATCTGGGACTGGTGATAAGTGAAAGTAGCTCAGTGAGCACTTCTGCCAGCTACCTCAGTACTCTTGTGTGGATCCCATCTGGCCCCATAGACTTGTGGAGGACAGTGTTTCATACCTTGGATGTTAGTTACCCTGCAAAACAGAAAAAACTTGGTTGTGCTTCTCAAACCATTTCCTTTCTAATTAGTGTTTAGAGAGCCAGAAGTTCTCTATTCTTGCTCCTCATCATAGGAGCAATAGCCCAATATATGCATAAATAAAGCACCAGTTTTTACTTCCTAAGTGGGAAGGAGGCCTGTAATCTCTGCATATAATATTCATCAGGCTTCTTTCAATCTGAATTGATTGATGCAGTGCTTGACTGACACCAGAGAATATTTGTGTCAATGTTACTAGCCACCAACAAGTTATCATTAGTCCAAGTGAAGATAAATATTTTATTCAGAATGAGGTTGTGGTGGGGGGAAAAGTTTTCCCCCTGAAGTTATAAAATGATAAATCCCCAGGGGGTGGTTTCCCGTGGGGTTGAACCAATGAGCGCTTCTGCAAAATATAAACATATCACCCAGACAGGAAAAGAAGAGTTGTGGTTGTAGTTGTTGTTGGAGAGTAGCCATGTTGTAGAGCCACAAAAAGAAGGGGCAGGAGCCTGATGGGGGCTCTGGCCCCCCCCAGCCCCCAGCTGGGCGGGCTAGAGGGACTTGGAACAGTGTTAGACTGGACTAAATATCTGTAGCTGAGAAGCTAGGAGTTTTTCTTCTCCACTATGAGCAGCAGCAGGAGCAGTGTACGGAGAAACGGGGGCAGAGAGCCAGAAAGAGATAAGAACTGAAGAAGCAGCAAACCAAGCATGCAGCTAGTCAGAAAGACACAGAGTTGTCTGAAGAGAGAGAGAGTTTGGGTAAGAACTGAAACAAACTCCTCAAACCCCTCTGAGACCTCCTAGAGAGGAGGAGGATGATGGACTCTTACTTGAGAAGAGTCTTGGAGTGCTCCAGCACTGCAGAGAGGAGCTGAGAAGCTCAGGCTTCCTGGAGCTGGACCGGGAAGGCCAAAGGAATGCAGAGGAGGGCTTTGCCCCCCTGCTGCTCTGAAAATCAGAGCACAGGATCTCTGTAAGGGCATTTGAATCCCTTGAAGATAAGGACCGTCACGAAGGCTTCTGCACTTCGTTGATATGACATGGTGAAGCGACCTTTGTCCTGGTAAACGCAGCCCACGGAAGAAAAAGACCCTCTCTTGGAGTCGAAGGGCCAAGAGGGGCTTGGAGATCCCCCTCGTGTGTATTTGGAAAACGTGATCCAGCTACAGCTGCTGCATAGAAGAGAGAGAGAGAGAGAGAGAGAGACTGATGCCCTAGAGGCACTGCTGCTCTGAGAGTGGAAAGGATCTCTTCTTCTTCCCTCCTGGACTTTTATTTGGAGAGAGGAGAGATGTGATCCATTGTAAATACTGCTTTATCATGGTAGAGATAGTTGAGATTGTGTATGTAATGTATTGTAATATTTATGTGAAAAGTCATTGTAATATAATGCCTTCCCCCCATTTTGAGTCTCGTACGTTGTCTGGAAAACCCATCTCACACTGGGCTGAGATGTGGGAGGGGGGCTTGGACACAAGAATTGGATTTTGAGACTCTCAAAGCATGACAGAGGTGATTATAAGCATGTTTGCTGTAAATGAGTGTTGAAAATCTTTTATTAAAAAAAACCCAAATCATAAAATACAAATCAGCCAGATAAATGAGTGGTTTTGAGGAATGTTCAATAGGATTCCAAGATATGAAAAAAAGAAACAGTGCCAGTGCACATTTCATAAAAGTAAGATTGACTTGTCTGACCCTGATCCTATTTCAGGCAAAATAAAATTTATTGTAATGGGACTGTACAACTTAGCTATATGTGTGAGTTAAGATAGGTCTGCATCTTTTCATTATGCATTTGGGGGCTGAGCACCCTGAGATGGGTAATGGGGGTAGTGTTGTTCATGTGTTCAAGAAATAGACAAATATTTTGATTTAAGATTAAAAAGATACTGGGAAATACCGTCCTGAGATTCAGAATTTTAAAATAATGTGGCAAATCATACTCAGCTGCTGAATCATGCTTAGAAGAAACTATTATCCCCTATATATTAAAATTTTTATTTATAAAAATTTAATATTTTTATGTATTTTTCTTGATAGTATGAGATGCATTCTTCAGGCATATGATGTAACAGCTGAATGTGTGTTTACTAGGATATGTGTTCTTAGCAATTTCTTGCTGAGCATTCTAAAATTTCTGAAAGCAGACAACACTGTGAGTGGGAAGGAAATGATGACGGTCTTGATTCTGGACTCTGAAGTATGGTTTCTTACAAATGCAGAATTCACTGAATTGCATGATTGTGTCCTGCTGTGGATAATGCTGTTTTATGCCCCGTTTGGGGATTTTGTTGTTGAAAGAGTGTTACTAAATAATGATCATACTCTTTGCTTTTACAGTTGGTAAGACTTCTGAGGCTATTTGGCTCATTAATAAATAAAAGTTATGTGTTGCTGAATGAGTAGAGGAAAAAAGAGACATTTCTGGTTTATAGGTTGAAGACTTTTTAATCCTTGACTGAACCTGAACAGTCTGCTTTCTAAATAAATTTTCTTTAACTCCTGTTTCATGGCTAGTAATTTACATTTGCTGTTCACAACAGCCTGAGAAGCTAGGGTGAGTGTACGTGTGTAGGGGAAGTTGTCTGAATTTGAAGAGTAATATACAGTCTTTCTGAAATCATGGCAGAGAATCCTGGTGCCATATTGCAGGTGTGACCTGCCCCTTACACTAAGTAAACTTGAGAGTTCTTTTGCTTTCAGACTTTTCCTGACACACATGGCTCTGGTATTTAATTAGGAACATTGTTTGTAAGTTCAACATACAAGAGCCTGTTATTTCTGTAAGTATGAAAGGCAGCTTAAGCAAGTTTGACTTCTAAGGTACATTTGAAACTTTGCAGAAAGATGTTTGAGAAAAAGCATGGAAGTTGTTTTCTACATTACTTGATCAGTAGCATACTGTAAGATTTCCATAGTATGCAGGTATTGCAAACTCTAGGTCTGTATGAACAGAATTACCCCTGAAGTAGTTTAGAGTCTCTGTGTTTAAACTTCCGTTAATTTAAATGGAATCACTGAATTGCAGCACTTCTGGATATGTACTTGTGGATGAAATTTGCTTTTAAACTTTGTAATGTTGTATAATTTTTAACAGGATGATGAGTCCTTTAACTTGCGTAACAGCAACAGTCATCATGAGAGAGATATAAACCGAAACTTTGAAAATGAAATTCCACAGGAGAATGGCAATGCTTCAATTACACCTCAACAGATCATTCAGTCTTCAACTTTTCCTCAGGCAAATGTTCTTTCAAGCTCACTTGAGGCAGAGCATAGGTATGTATTTCATTATATAAAGTGGGTTCCTTCATGGTAAGTGAGCATGTTCACAAATTTTTACTAGTTTAGAAGTCAGAATCTGAAAACTGAGAACACAAAATGTTTCATGAGTAATGTCAGATTTATCTTTTAGACATGTACCAGTTTAACATGGAATATACTTTGTTTCTGTTAGACTTGCATAAAGTTGCTTTGCTAAAAATTTGATGTATTTCTGTGTAAAGAAAAAGGCAAACTGCATAGTGACTTCATCCCTCTGATTTTGATCTAAATGTGTTTAGGAGGAACAATGTATGTGATTGCCGTTTGTATTAATAATACTTTAAATGCTGCATGTTATGTAAAACTCTTGAGTTTGTTGTCATAATTAAAGTAATTAATTATTTCTGTGGCTGACTGGTTGACACTGTTAGTGATATCACAAGACAGTGCACTGGAAGGTGAGCAAGTAACTTCACAAAAAGGATTGAAACAATTCTATTATTAAAGTAGCTGCACTAGTGATTGATAGAGATGAGAATGATGCTGCTGGAAAAAACTCAGTCTGGAGATGAGCTTGTCGTGAGCTCTGTCAGATTCTTACGGTTTTTGGCAACTACAGAGTTGCAGTGGCTAATTGGACAGATCTTTCTCTTTTTTGTGATAGTCTGTGTGTACATTGGACTAAAGAACTCTCCCTTTTGTAGTAACTGCAGAAGAAACTTCCATTTCCTCTTATTTCTCATGAGTATGAGAATGCCGTTCTGCCATATATTTTAGAAATCTCTTTATTTTTTGTGAAATAGCTTTAATCTCCCTTAACGTTTAAGGTCAACAGATGCCTGGTTTGCCTGAAGAAGGTGCTAATCCTTTTGCCAAAAACTTTGTGGCAATCAAACTTAGTATCACCGTTGTTAAATGTAATGGTGTCTTCACCCTCAGATAGCCCCTGTTTTCACAGCATCTTCACATGTAAAACCATCTTATTCCTGCTCAGATACTGCTGTCCCTCTTTTGGTACTAGCTAAAATACACTGATTATTGTATCTTTGGATATCTCAAACTTAGTTACAAGAGGAATCTTTCTTGTTTCATTTCCTCCCCTCATCCCAAAATTCAATCTTATTTATCGTGGCTGGGCTTCGCGAACGAAGATTTGGGAAGGTCTCTACCCATGTTTGTTA